CCTTTTTTCTAGTTGAAACAGCTGTGGCCGTTTGGTTTTAATTGGAAACTGTCTCTTTAAATTTCAAGGAGATCTGTCCACATGCGTAGTAGAACCCTCCGAGGGTGGGGCTAGGGTGCCCACTAGCTCAGGTCCCCCTGTAGTCACCAGAATGGAGGTGTGCAGACAGCAAGGGACCAACGAACAGATACCAAAAGAAAAGAATGTCCACACCTTTATCTCAGCGGTTCTGCCAGGCGTCTGTGGCCACTCTGATCCTTTCCCCACGTGGTCTCACCCAAGATGGCGGCTCCTGGAACAGCCGAGCGTCCAGGACTAGAAAGCAATGGATTTCTTTCTTCTGCCACAAATTCCCCCAGCTGTGAGCCTTCCAACCTTCTCTAAGTATTCATTTATATGTGGTTCAGAGTTCTGGGACCATCCCCTGAACCTGCTTGGTCTGGTGTTCTGTGTTGTTGTTGGCGGAGCTCTCTGCTATATGTCTACCTGATCCGCCATCTTGTTTGTTCCCCTGACGATGTCTGTTTTTAGCTTTGGTAGCATTGTTTTCTTTATATCCTCCTTTCCTTAGCTCTGTTTCCTCTGTCTGAGATGACTTCTAATTGGCTACAACTTCTATATCATGCATTCTCAATGTTTGTCTTTTTCTGACCCTTTGAACTATATTCTGTGAGATAGCCTTGATTTTATCTTTCTTCTGTCCTATTTATTTTTTTTGGTCAGAGTCATATCATAGTTATAAATTTCAATAATTCTTGTTTCTTGATCACACCTATTTTATAGCAGTACGTTCTTATTTTTTATATATATATATATCACTTTGAATCTCTTTGAGCATACTATTTGGATTATTGAGAGTATTCTCCTGTTTCTGATAGTACATCTTCTAAGTTCATTTGTGTCCTGGTGTGGCACTGGATGATAAGCACGGGACTTCTAACCACAAGGTTGGCAGGTGAAAGCCACCAGCTGTTCTTTGGAAGCCTTATATACAGGGTTGATATGAGTTGGAAATGACTCGACTGCACTTAACAACAAGTTCACTTGTCTTTTTCTGTTTAGTCTAAATGTTAATTTTGTCATGAAAGTGGCAATGGTAGTAAGAATAATAATAACAATTATAGACTATTGAATACTAGGAGTTTCAAACTCACCTGCTACTCCTTGGAAACCCTACAGAGTCAAAACTGACTCAACTGGCACTTAACAACACTTAACAACAACAACAGTTGAATACTGTTAGTCACTATGTGTATAGCACTCCATTTAGTCCTCATGAGAACTTCAACAGATATTTTCATCTTGATTCTATACATGAGGAATTTGAAGCACAGAGCATTTATTTATCTTGCAGAAGGTTACACAGCTAATGGCAGGGAGAGCTAGGATTTAAACTCAGACCTTGTTCCCCTGGAGCTTGCATTACTTACTCACAGTGCTATTGGCCAGTGGTGCTCACATTTTAGAGTGCATCCGTGTCACCTGGAGGACTTGTTAAAGCACAAATCCCTGCCCCCATTCTGGGTGCTGGGTGGAGCCTGAGACTTTGCATTTCCAGCAAGCTCACAAGTGATGTTGGTGCTGACCATCCAGGTCCACACTTGAAGACTCACTGCTCTAGGCTGGGAAACCTTGGTGGCGCAGTGGTTAAGCATTCTTCTGTTAACAAAAAGTTAGCAGTTCAAACCCACCAGTCACTGCATGGGAGATGTGGCAATCTACTTGCATAAAGATTTGCAACCTTGGAACCCCTATGGGGAAATTCTACACTGTCCTGTACAGGGTTGCTGTGAGTCTGAATCTACTTCTAGGCTATGAAGCACTTTGTCTATTTGCAAAAATATGGCAACAGTCATTCTTCAAACACTTGGTATTGTCCTTACTCTCTACTTATGCTGGGTTCATTGCAGTGGCCACGCAGAACTCAGACACCATACTCACAGTTACAGGGTTTATTAGGAAACTTAACAGGTTATATGTAATTCAGGGGCAAAATGTTCAGGACACAGTTCTTCCAGTCAGGATAACCTCATCAGCCATGCCCACAGGCAGGCCTCTTTCTGCCTGGGCAACAACTCTCTTTCAGGGATGCTAATAAATGCTCAGGAGCCCTGGTGTGGCACTGTGGGTTAATGTGCCAGACTGCAAAGCCATTTGAACTGCAAGGTCAGTGGTTCAAGCTCACCAGCTGCTCCTCAGAAACCCT